ACTCGTGTTTTGAGTCGACTCGTGTTTTGAGTCGACTCGTGTTTTGAGTCGACTCGTGTTTTGAGTCGACTCGTGTTTTGAGTCGACTCGTGTTTTGAGTCGCCTCGTGTTTTGAGTCGACTCAAAACAAATTCTGCCGCTGGCCATGTATCGGGCGAATGACGCCTTGCCTGGAGAGGGACGAGGGAAGAGGGGAGGGGAGGGGTGACGGGTCATGCAAGGGAGGCAGAGGGAAAGGGAGGACAAAGGAGTGGAGGATGTAGAGCAAGAGCATGGGCTATTTTTTTGGCGCCTCAAAATTGGCACCTCAAAAGGCGCGTAAAAGAAGGGAGAACGAAGGGGTGGAGGAAGTAGAGCTAAGCACACTCACCAGTCCAGAAGGAGGGGTAGGAGAGATGGGCTTGCATGCATGTATGAGTAGGTGTGCGCTTGTGCATGTGTGTGTGCGCTTGTGCATGTGTGTGTGCGCTTGTGCATGTGTGTGTGCGCTTGTGCATGTGTGTGTGCGCTTGTGCATGTGTGTGTGCGCTTGTGCATGTGTGTGTGTGTATAGAGTAAGCACACTCACCGGTCCAGAAGGAGGGGTAGAAGAAGTAGAGAATGGGCTTGCGGATGCCATTAGCGTCTGGCAGCACGTTATCAAAGTAGATGGCGAGGATGAAGAAGAGGAAGAAATCGCCGATGAGCCACACGTAGATGCTCGCCTGGTGATGAGGAGGAAGAGGGGAGGAAGTAGGGAAGGGGAGGTTTGGGATCATATAGGCGAGAAGGATGAAGAGGAAAAAGTTGCTGATGAGACACAGATAGAGGGTAGAGGGGAGAGGGGAGAGGGGAGAGGGGAAGGGGAGAGGGGAGGAGGGGTTCAGGAGAGGTGAGGTTTAGAAACCTGTGGTAGGCTGATTGCTGCTACCAGCGTGCACCCTGGCTTTTCGGTCAAATTTCAGGTCGAATATTACGTTGAATTAGACTGTGTGTAGTGAGTCGATTTTTGAGTCGACTCAAAAATCGACTCACTACACGCGAATTTCAGGTCGAGTATTACGTTGAATTAGACTTTTTGGTCGAGGCTTGGAATACTCAATACAGCACAGCTTACCAGAGTGTTGGTGCACCCCGCGTTGCCGAGCGTGCACTTGTTGATCTCGCTCAGACTCACTCCAGGCGACTGCGGCAGCTTCGTAGCATCAGTCAGGTACTTGAGCGAGAGTGTGAGAAGGTCCGGAGGGAACAGGCTGAAAATCACCCGCCAGAATCCGGAGAAGTCGTTGGTGTAGGGGAAGCCGAACATAACCATCAGCTGCAGCACGAAGCCCAGGAGGAAGATGAAGAACCCGATGGTGTTGGCGTTGGCAGATTTCCGCATGAACGTCGAGACGAGGAACGCCAGCCCGGTCATCGCCACCCAGAAGAGGAAAAAGACGAGGAACAGCACGACGAAGCTGTTCTTCAGGAAAAACGCGAGCTGGAACATCATGCCGAAGCAGATGAGCAGAATGCAGGTCACGAGTGCCACTATTAGCTCCCAGACCAGCCAGGTGCTCCAGAAGACTGAGTCCATTAGGCCCATGGTAGCCATGGCCTGTCGGAGCTTTAACTCGCGCTCGATGACGAGGTTGGCGGCCTGCGTGACGAAGTTGAACATGGCTGCTGCGAAGAGGAACGTGGGGCCCGCCAGTGGGATGGCTGAGAGCGACTGGTACGGCGGATGCGCGAACTCCGAGTAGCTCGGCTGCCACCCTATCGTCCAGTCTGGATGGGGAGGCATGGAAAATGCAGGGGAAGATGTAGGAAGGTAAAGGGGAAGGGGGGAGATGCGAGCCGTAAGGGATGGCTGAGAGCGACTGGTACGGCGGATGCGCGAATTCCGAGTAGCTGGGCTGCCAGCCTATCGTCCAGTCTGGAAGAGAGAGGCACAGGGGTGTTTGGACGGGGCAAGGACAAGGGGAGAGGGGTAGAGGGGAGTAAGGGATGGCTGAGAGCGACTGGTAGGGCGGATGGGCGAATTCCGAGTAGCTCGGCTGCCACCCTATCGTCCAGTCTGAAAACGGGGAATGAGATGGGTGGGGTGCGGTAGGGTGGGGTGGAAAGAGAAGTGGGGCGAACCATGAGATGGGGCGGGGGTGGAAAAGGGGGAAGGGAGTAATGCAGGGGATTGGAGGAACAGCTAAATGGGTGGGACTAGTGAGCTATGTATGTCAACTCCAAATACCGAATCCGCTATTCAAGGTTCCCGACACGTGTTGCTTCCTGCCATTATCATTGGATACTGTGGTGATTCTCTTTACTGCATCAATTCATTTCCTCCTTAAATGAAACCTTCCCATCCTGAGCTGTTCTCTGAACCGGGTTGCCCGGTTACCACGCACCTTGAGCGATGTATCTCGCGATTTCCCTCTCCGCGGCTGCCTGCAGCGGCACCTGGTGGTCGAACGTAGGGTTCTCAAACGTCCCTCGCCGCACTTTCGACGTCGAGTTGGTCTGCACGGCAAACCCGAGGTCGCCCTTCTCCGTGAACGCGAAGTGCAGCGCGCCAGGTGTCCGCATCGGATGGGCCAGCAGCCACACGTCCACGTCGCTTGGATTCGCGAATCCGATGATCTGAGGAGTTGGTTTAATGATTGAAGGAGAGAGCGATTGGAGAAAAAAGGTTGGAGATCAGGGTTAGAACGTCAGGGTGAGAGATGAGGGCATAGGTGATATGAGGAGAATGGATGCGCGAGGGGAGAGGAAGGTGAGTGGCGGGAGAATTGGTGCCATTTGCCTTCAGGAGAGACAAGAGAGTCACCTGGAATGGTGCTCGCGGAAATGCAGCCTGCGCGGGTGGTGTGTGCCTGTTAAGCTAGGATACTGCGTGTGTGCCTCTCCTGAGTGTAGGCGATACGTTGTTTGAAACGCCTGAGCAGTTGTTCATTTCACGAGAGGATGTTGGAAGCTAAAACCGAGCGTGTAACCGGGATGCCGTCTGAGTTTGCAGCTAGTGACGTACCCTGGATGAATTGATCGGACGGCCGGGATTGTTCGCGGAGATGTTCTGAACGAGAGACGTGATGATCTTGCTGTTGTTCCCGCTCCACAAAAAGTCGTAGCACGGCGTGAGAATGTTAAACGCGTTTTCGCAGGCCATGATTGGCTGGACCTCCACGACGTTAGGATTCGGCGTGTCGCGAAACTCCGTGTAGTTTGTCAAAGCGGCTTTCACGGAAACGTCCACTAGGAAGATCAGGAGGATGAAAAAGAAGGACGAGCAGAGCTGCAAGAATGTTGCGGTTCGGTTGCGCCACGCTAGCAGCGCGTTCTTAATCATGAGGGCTTTAAACTGCTGGAAAAAGAGCTTCATGCCTCGCACTCTAACAGGGATAGCAGGTCCGACATTACCGGGGTCTGGACCTAAAACTTCCCCTTCATTTCCATTGGTACTCATGACGGCGAGACTCTTGCGAGATAAGTTCCTCGCAAGCCAAGTTTCTCGCAAGCTAAACTGCTAAGGTTGCTGTCGCTGTGTAATTAGAAAACGGAAGGACAGGCAGTCCCTCGTGAGCTAAGTTTCTCAACTCGCTGCGTAACTAACTGAATGCAGGAAAGATCGTGACGAATTCCTTCGTCGTTTCGACTTTGGCTATGGAAGCGAACTGTCGCTTGAAAGACTCTGGCTCCTGGGTTGCTGCATCACTACAAATTATGTTCTCTTACTCACAATAGACGCTGAGAGGACACGCATAATTGTTAGCTACAAGCTGCCTCGACATCCCACCGAACTCTCAGAAGCCAGAAAGAAAGCTCGGCACCGTCAGGCTGCAATGAATTCCCGAGGCTATGAGGCTGCTGCAGCTTCCTATCAGCGACAGGATCTGCAGCTACCGTACTGTACCCAGCCTACGACGACGCGGTCGTCTCAACAGTGCGGCAAACGGTCGCCTTTTCTCCTTCGCAGCATCGCTCGCTTTTCTGCGATGTTATCCCTTTGCGACGCTCGACGAAACCGGGGCCTGGTGGCGCCGCGAAACCTCGGGGATTCCCGTTCCGCGTGGGGGGGACGCTCAAATATTTTTCCCCGTTCCGCCCAGCAAATTCTCCGCCCGTCCGCCCTACCATGCCTTACATGCAGCGCATATTCGCCGTACGCCGTACAGTATGGAATCAGACGTACGACTGACATGAAACGCATGGGAGATGGTAGCGGGGAATTCATGGGGAGATCTTCGCCCGGAGAGTAAGGTGTTGGCGCAAACCGACGCATCATGGATGCGGTGTTGCGAGGCACGCTAAAGTAGGCCAACAGCTGTGGCACCGCCAGCCACATCCATAGGCTCGGCTGCCCTACGCTTGGACTCCACGCGTCAACGGTCACTGGTTCCAAGCACGAGTGGGTTGTCCGCGACATAGTCATGAACAAAATAACAGTGTACACAGCACCCACCTCGATTTATGTCAATATTCACATAGTCGGAAACCTTTGTAGCACTTGCCTAACATCTCGTCTACATTATCCCAATTTCTTCATCCAAACGGCATAACATGTGCATTAATGTCAGCATATAAAACTTCAATATAACGCATAGATGAAATACATCCTGTTACGTGGCACAGCAAATGCATATCGGTCCACCCATAGCATACACTGAATCATCCAAGCACGCACCCTTTCGATATTGGATCCCATATAGTTTGTACTGTGTACTGTACGCTTACAATACCAACCAGGTTGTTTGCAAACCCATCGTTTTCCACCAGCCTACCCCACTCATTTTCACATATATCCTTGATCTCTAAGGGCTCGCGTGGCTCGCTCCTTGCATATGTCCACCCATCCTTCTCTGGATTGGTCGCAAAGCTAGCAAGTTCCCTCGCAATAACATTCACAGCAGCATCTTCATAAATGTTGCCATTTGGAGAGCTCCTGATTTGGGAAAAAAGAGGGAAGAAGGAGGACGGTGCAAAACAAGGCGTATGAGCCACACATCACTTCCGCTGCCAACTCGGGCGAAATGCATGCGCGGAACTTACGAGTGGCCAAATAGGTGAGCACACTTCTCCGGGCACTTGCTAGCGTCGCCAATAACCACGTATCGGATGCTGCTCGTGTAACCATCCCATGCCGTTAAGTTCATGTGCTGCCGCAGGGAGCACCAGTCGTCGCACATGTATGTGTTCTCATACGGTGCTGCTAGCGCTACGTCGGGGGATGCGAGGATGAAGTAGATGGCCGTGTCGTCTACAGGAAGCATGGCACCGTCGCCCAACGCATTGCTGAGAACTGGATAAGGTTGGGAAGGTAAGCGAGAGAGAAGGAACGAAGTAGGTGGGTGAGTAAGGCAGAGTGACGTCAGGGGATGCGAGGAGGAAGTAGATGGCCGTGTCGTCCACGGGAAGCATGCCACCGTCGCCCAATGCGTTGCTGAGAACTGGATAAGGTTGGGAGGATACGGAAGAGAGAAGGAGCGAAGTGTGTGAAGTGAGGATGCCAGTGTGGATACTGAAGTTAGAATGCCTGTGTTGTCAACGGAAACATAACGACACAAGGTCAAGCTAAGGAAAAATGGCATGCACAAACAGATACATGGATATAGATGGACAATAATTCTCGCAGCCATCTGAGAAAAATAGGCACAAGGCGAGTCCGAACAAACCATACCCGTTTCAACTGAGGCTTCGCAGCCGGTCAGATCACTTCCAGCGGAGTAGTTGTCTCTCCCTGACCCGGCCAGAATAACCTGTTGGTAGCACCACAGGGTGCCATCAAGTACCACAGGAAGCGGGAGACAAAGAGCGCTGATAATGAGCTGGTGGTCACGATGAAGCAACGATTCGATAATATTCGCGTCCCAACGAGCTTACAAGCACCAACACCCACCAACAAGCGCCAACCAACACAGGGCTGGTCACGTTGACGAAGATGCCAGGGTTGCTCTCGTCCCGCCCCGTGTACCGACCCACCACCCTCAACCATCCCCGGACCCACTTACCACCCTCCCAGCACCCTCCACCACCCTCCACCACCCTCCACTACTCTCCACCACGAGTGTTTTAAGTCGACTCAAAGGACTTCAAGCATCAAGCATCAACGAGCGCACTTGATCCGTGACGTTGACAATGATGCCAGGGTTGCTCTCGTCGCGCCCAGTGAACCGACCCACCACCCTTCACCACCCTCCGCCAGTGTGCGCGCTTTGAGTCGACTCAAACCACTTCAAACATCAAACAGAAACAACCATTACCTGATCCGTGACGTTGACAATGATGCCAGGGTTGCTCTCGTCGCGCCCCGTATACCGTCCCACCACTCTCCACCACCCCCGCACAGATGCTGCCTGCCCAGAAGACGCCTCCCCTTCCTCTCCAGACACCATGTCAGAATAGGCGTCAGTTTCGCCGTAGGCCTCTGACTCGTCCGGGTCGTGAGTTAGAGAATTGATGAAGTTTTCTATAATGAACGATGGGGACTCCCACGCGCCGTAGTACAGTATGTACGCGTTTATAGGCTCGTGCTTCACCGGCCCGCCACCGTACGTCAGCTCCACCCAGCCCGGAGGCCTTTCCTTCGGGGGAGGCGGAGAGGGGGTCCCAGGCTCAAAAGCTCCGCCATCCGAACCTCCGCTGTTGCCTTGGGAGCCGCCAGAAGGGTTGGAATTAGAGAGATCCGGACCGTCAGGGGGGAAATAATCTGGATCGTCAACAGGTAGGAAGAGGCCCAATGATTCCCCCCCTTCCGACGCGGGCGCGGAGGCGGAGGCGGAGGCGGAAGGGGAAGGGGCAGGCGCGGGGGCGGGGGAAGGTCCGAGAGGCGCAAGAGTGGCGGTGATATAGGAATCCCCTCGTCGCCGAGGTTGAATGGAGAAATCCTGGGAGGTCAGCTCGGGGGATGGCGGGGGAGTTGCGGGAGAAGCAGGGGGAAGCGGCGGGGGCTGGAAGGGCGGCGAAGGGGAAGGCGGGGAAGGTTGGGGGGGACTGCGGACGGCGGGAGTTGGGGGTGGCGGAGACGCGATAGGGAGGGGAAAGGTTCGCGCAACCGGTGGGGAGGGCGGAGGAAGGGGAGGGGGAGGTGAGGAGGGCGGAGGAGGTCGTGGCGGAGGGGGAGAGGGGGATGGGGAGGAACGGCCCTCGAGGATCGTCAGGAGGGCTTTAAGCGAGGGGAGTCGGGGCAGGCCGCCGAGACCGCGTCTTCTTAAAGCCCGTCCAGGCGACACCACGTGATGCGTAGTAGCAGTAACTGCCTCGCCGGAGTGACGGCTCTGCTTCTGTGACAACGCTTGCTCGTATGACTCAAGCCGTGGCGTTCGAGCCGTACAGAGGAGAGGTGGTAGTGCTATCGCTATTATAAGTACAAACGCACATGCTACAGGTGCGGATGGTATTACTAGTGCGACGGGCATCAAACGTTTTGTCTGACGAGTCGTCATTGTGGTGAAAGGATCACGGGGAATGAGTCATTCTCCCGTTCGGCTGCTTATCAAGCTTTCTGGATTGCATTTTTCCAGGCGTTGTAATTACCATGTTAACGCAGGCCCTGTACTTGCTAGGCGCTAGGTCGAATCTCGGGGACGTCGTAGCGTCGCTGCCCTGGCGAGAAGCCGCGTGCTAGTAGTTGGAACCAGTATAGCGGTAGCGCCGGCAAACCACAGTCGGTGTCACGCTAGTCTTTCTTACTCAGGAGTCGATAAGCCCCTCAATGTCAGTACCTTCCAGGGCTAGCGGTTTCAAGCTGCTCGTTAGCAACTGCTGAAGACATCCTGGTTTTGTCCGCTAAAATGTCGTTTTTCTTCGGTTTAGTTGCTGAGTTTGCTGCTCTGGTTTGGTTTCTCAACGTTCAGTTTCCGTTATTGGGTGCTGCTGAGAAAATGGTTCACAAAAATATGGTTCAGCTGGACATTTCGAGTCGCGAGCAGGTGAAGTCTGGCTGTTGTTCGTCGTGGGATCTCGCTCACTTTCAGATCATCGACGGTTCGCAATGAGGGAATTCAGGTCCACGGACCGCATATGACGTTTCGCCTCCCACGAACAAATGAATGCGCTATGAAAAACCCCATTTTTGTACAAGAAGTATAGAACTTTATGTATATTGTTGTTATAAAAGCCTTTTATTTATCCTTCCATTTCGGCCGATGGGTGCTGAATCCTGCTGCGCGAAAGTTCATATTCAACCGTTTTCAACCGTGAGGTGAACAAGGCCCTAAACGAACCAGGCCACATGCGGCCCAACCTGCTTCATAGGTGCGGTGCGGTCCCTCGCAGATCCCTTGGTCGGTCAGTATCCAAGCAAGCCATGCCCACACGGACTGCCTCTGCTGGTTGAAAATTGAGAAGACCGTTGGTTCCTGTGCACCGTGGCTTGGGGGGAAGGCAGAAAATGTTCCCCCCTGTGGCGCTCCCGCCCAGCCGTAGAGCCAGGAATTGCGCATGCGCGACACACCAGCTTCGGGTTTCCGCGTGTCGCAGATTTTGTCCTTGACAGGTGTGCGGTGAGGCTAGTCCACCTAGCTGCGCCGAGTTTACTGTACCACCGGGTCCTCTCAAAAAATTGCATGACACGATGCATACTGGTTTGCGGGAGGGGAGTCACCAAGCAGTGTACTGTTCAGAATTGACACGACAGGAAATCGGAGGAGCACAACGACGTTGTCCGAACACTTTTTCAAGCGAAAGTAGGCGACGAAGCTAACGACAGGTCGGCGAAAAGTCGGTGTGGTAGCTGGCGACGACAAATACGGACGAGCCCCGCCATCGCCGCGCATCCCCTCTACCCTCATGCCACATACTCGTTTCATCTTCCCTCAGGTTCCCTTCATTCCAGGAAAACGTGTCGAGCTGTAACTTAGTGCACCGCCAGCGGAAGCGCTAGCGCGCATCCGCAACTACTTTTCCCCCAGCCTCCGGAACCGAACTGCCGTTTCGTGTCATCTCTAGACTCAACTTCACTGGGTACCCTGCTTCCATGCAGCTCCCTCCCTCCCATCCCACCTCCGATTCGCCGTTGCATCTCACCACCTTTCATACAACCCTCAACGCTTCAGCCCTCGAGAACATCTCGAATTTGCTCGACTCAGTTCTGCCACTTACCTTGTAGCTTCAGATTATACAGCTTGTTAGCAGTTCTGGTGTCCTGGATAGTCAGGACTTCAGCTGCTTTTCAGCTGTTCCCTTCGAATTCGCAAGACTTTAAAAACCTGAGTGCAGCCGTTTAATAGAAACATAAGGCTGCCATTTCAAGCTCCCTTTCAGGACGCGCTTACCGTTTCTACCGTAGGAGCTTATTTACGCGAAGATCGTCTTCCGAAAGATTGTTTCCTGCTTGACCGACGCTTATCTGCTGAAACAAGCGTAGATTCTTACAATGGAGGAAGTAGAGCTCGGCAGCGTTAATACAGAGTCTGGGCTGGTTATGAAGGAGGGAGGGTATGCGGACAAAACGACTCAACAGCGGCGGAGAAAACTAACGACTACCTTTGGAACGCAAGTCGACGCTATCATGCGCAGAAATCTCGCTTATCAGGTACGCGTGATCTCTGATCATCCAGCCTGCATGCGGACACTGCTATCTGTAAAGCCTGCTGCAGTGCAGAATATGCACGCGGGGAAGGCTTATGTGCCGACTGCATTTCATCGTCCGGATTGGTCGCGTATGCGGGGACTTTCGGAAATAGCTGGGCCGGTACGTTTGACAGAATCGCTGGGGTATTTCGGATGAAGCATGCGCGTTTGTCACAACTAGCGCTATGAATTTGACCAAATGCTATGCATACAGACCCTAACAAGTTGTCGTGTTTTTAGTTCATGGATCATACCAGCCATCATACTCATAGTAGAGATGATGCAGAACGAGTAGATCGTCAGGGATGTCAGTGCCTAATATCCTGCTTTGTCGTGTAGACGTTTTTTTTTTTTTTAAGTGCGAACACGATCCATGTATCCGCCTGTCATGCAAAGACGTCACAGCATGCGTTCCATGGCTTTTTCTAGTTTGGTCCATTGGGTGTTTTGTTTCCTTCGGCGCTTCAGAAATATTTCCCTTGGCGCGCGCGGGTACGATCCATGTGGCTGCATTTGCAGGACTGGTATAGTCAGGACGCGCTGCTTTTCGTGGCTGCTTGTTTTCTAGAATTTAATTGGTTCGTTACGATCCTAGAAGGAAACCTTGCGAATAATGAAGACGTCTGTCTCGTATAGACGCCATAGGTTTGCGCTGCTTTTGGCGCTGCCCTGAGGCGTGGTATGTCTCACGAGCCATCCACCGCTCCGCTTCTTTGTACCCCCTCATCCCACTGTAACGAAAATGGGGTAGCAATTCGTGTGTCGCGAGTGAAGCGTTTCACTAACCACCCACCTCTGCATTTCTTCTTCCCCTTCTAATCCCACAGAAAGCAACTGGGGCAGCAACCTGTGCTTGGTCAGCCTGCCGGCCTTCATGTGCCTCATCCTCTTCCTCATCCTCTTCCTCTTCCTCATCCTCATCCTCTTCCTCTTCCTCTTCCTCTTCCTCTTCCTCATCCTCTTCCTCATCCTCATCCTCTTCCTCATCCTCTTCCTCATCCTCTTCCTCTTCCTCATCCTCTTCCTCATCCTCTTCCTCATCCTCTTCCTCTTCCTCATCCTCTTCCTCATCCTCTTCCTCATCCTCTTCCTCTTCCTCATCCTCTTCCTCATCCTCTTCCTCATCCTCTTCCTCATCCTCTTCCTCATCCTCATCCTCATCCTCATCCTCATCCTCTTCCTCATCCTCATCCTCTTCCTCATCCTCTTCCTCTTCCTCATCCTCATCCTCTTCCTCATCCTCTTCCTCTTCCTCTTCCTCTTCCTCTTCCTCTTCCTCTTCCTCTTCCTCTTCCTCTTCCTCTTCCTCTTCCTCTTCCTCTTCCTCTTCCTCTTCCTCTTCCTCTTCCTCTTCCTCTTCCTCTTCCTCTGCCTCTTCCTCTTCCTCTGCCTCTTCCTCTTCCTCTTCCTCTTCCTCTTCCTCTGCCTCTTCCTCTTCCTCTTCCTCTTCCTCTTCCTCTTCCTCTTCCTCTTCCTCTTCCTCTTCCTCTTCCTCTTCCTCTTCCTCTTCCTCTTCCTCTTCCTCTTCCTCTTCCTCTTCCTCTTCCTCTTCCTCTTCCTCTTCCTCATCCTCTTCCTCATCCTCTTCCTCTTCCTCATCCTCTTCCTCATCCTCTTCCTCATCCTCTTCCTCTTCCTCATCCTCTTCCTCATCCTCTTCCTCATCCTCTTCCTCTTCCTCATCCTCTTCCTCATCCTCTTCCTCATCCTCTTCCTCATCCTCTTCCTCATCCTCATCCTCATCCTCATCCTCATCCTCTTCCTCATCCTCATCCTCTTCCTCATCCTCTTCCTCTTCCTCATCCTCATCCTCTTCCTCATCCTCTTCCTCTTCCTCTTCCTCTTCCTCTTCCTCTTCCTCTTCCTCTTCCTCTTCCTCTTCCTCTTCCTCTTCCTCTTCCTCTTCCTCTTCCTCTTCCTCTTCCTCTTCCTCTTCCTCTTCCTCTGCCTCTTCCTCTTCCTCTGCCTCTTCCTCTTCCTCTTCCTCTTCCTCTTCCTCTGCCTCTTCCTCTTCCTCTTCCTCTTCCTCTTCCTCTTCCTCTTCCTCTTCCTCTTCCTCTTCCTCTTCCTCTTCCTCTTCCTCTTCCTCTTCCTCTTCCTCTTCCTCTTCCTCTTCCTCTTCCTCTTCATCTTCCTCTTCCTCTTCCTCTTCCTCTTCCTCTTCCTCTTCCTCTTCCTCTTCCTCTTCCTCTTCCTCTTCCTCTTCCTCTTCCTCTTCCTCTTCCTCTGCCTCTTCCTCTTCCTCTTCCTCTGCCTCTTCCTCTTCCTCTGCCTCTTCCTCTTCCTCTTCCTCTTCCTCTTCCTCTGCCTCTTCCTCTTCCTCTTCCTCTTCCTCTTCCTCTTCCTCTTCCTCTTCCTCTTCCTCTTCCTCTTCCTCTTCCTCTTCCTCTTCCTCTTCCTCTTCCTCTTCCTCTTCCTCTTCCTCTTCCTCTTCCTCTTCCTCTTCCTCTTCCTCTTTATCTTCCTCTTCCTCTTCCTCTTCCTCTTCCTCTTCCTCTTCCTCTTCCTCTTCCTCTGCCTCTGCCTCTGCCTCTTCCTCTTCCTCTTCCTCTTCCTCTTCCTCTTCCTCTTCCTCTTCCTCTTCCTCTTCCTCTTCCTCTTCCTCTTCCTCTTCCTCTTCCTCTTCCTCTTCCTCTTCCTCTTCCTCTTCCTCTTCCTCTTCCTCTTCCTCTTCCTCTTCCTCTGCCTCTTCCTCTGCCTCTGCCTCTGCCTCTGCCTCTTCCTCTTCCTCTTCCTCTTCCTCTTCCTCTGCCTCTGCCTCTGCCTCTGCCTCTGCCTCTTCCTCTTCCTCTTCCTCTTCCTCTTCCTCTTCCTCTTCCTCTTCCTCTTCCTCTTCCTCTTCCTC